GATAAGAGGGGACGAGCTGTTCACAATAGGGATCAACGACTCGATCGCTGGGCAGAATACCTCAACGAACAGTTCAGCTGGCCTAGTGCTAATCAGGCTGCTTCATCTGCGACTGAAGCTCCGTGGGCGTGTCATGTGATCCCCCAACGGAAGCAGAAATTCGGTCTTGCATTCAATCTCTGAAGCGAGGAAGGGCAGCAGGACCTGATGAGCTCCCTCCCACTCTTTCCAAGATGGGAAGTGATAACCTCGTAACCTCTATTACTACGCTACTGCGCAACATTTGGGTGCAAGAGCACATTCCTTCATCTTGGGGCGAATCACTGATCGTTCCCATTTTCAAGAAAGGATCCCGCAACAATTACGAAAACCACCGCGGGATGAGTTTGATCCCGATCGTCACCAAAGTAATAGCTTCGGCTATACTTCGATGTCTGACACCTTTGAGAAAGACCAACATCCGTGAATAGCAAGCTGGATTCCGGCCTGGCTGTGGATGTATTGATCAGATTTTTACGTTGCGTCAGATACTTCAGCTGCGTCATACTCACCGTCGGCCAACGATTGCAGGAGCCTTCGACTCAGCTGATCGCGAAGCTCTGATGGGCTCCCTTCTTCGAAAAGGGATGCCCCAAAAGTTCTCTAACCTATTGAGGTCACTGTACTCACATACCTCCGGTCGTGTAAGAGTTAACAACGAACTAAGAAGGCTGTTCATCACCAGCAGCGCCTTCCGTCAAGGATGCCCTCTTTCGCGGTTCCTGTTCAATTTCGTCGTAGACGAAATACTGGAGAGCGCACTAAGGGGACTCCAAAACGTAGGTATTGAATGGAAAACTGCAGAGATGCTATGCGATTTGGAGTACGCCGATGATATCGTCTATCTGTTCGAATGTATGGAGGACGCTCAAAGTGCACTTGATAGATTAACAAGTGCAGTAGCCACATTCGAAATGTGCTTTGCACCTTCAAAGTGCCAAGCGCTGCTGCAGGACTGGGTTTCGTCTACTACCTCTCTGAAACTAAATGGCCAGGATTTAGTTATGACGGATTGCTTTTGCTACTTAGGTAGTTGCGTGACCAATGACGGTAGTGCAACAAAGGAGATAACCGCCCGCATTTCCAAGTCTCGAGCAGCATAAGCAGGACTGAAATACCTTAGGCGTAGATGCGATGTTTCACTGAAGTTGAAAGGTCATGTATATTGTGCTGGCATTCGTTCAGTCCTGCTTTATGGTTGTGAGACCCTGGATTCGCGAATAGAAGATATTCGTCTACTAGAAGTTTTCGATTATCGGTGTTTACGTAGCTTAGCCCATGTTGAATGGAGCGAACGGGTTATTAACGTGGAGGTAAGCCGTCGTGTGTTTGGGAGTCTGTCAGGCATAAACCTGCTAGCATACCGAATTCAGATCACTAGACTTAATAGGCTGGCTAGGGCACATATTGCGTATGTCCAGCCATCGTCTGCCGCACCGCGCTTTATTCGTTGTAGCTAATCCGGGCTGGAGCAAAACACGTGGTCAACAAATGACGTGGAGACGAGGCATGAAGAAATGCACAGAGACATTAGGTAGAGTAGGTGTCTCTCGCCTTCCAGGTTGGGGTCCGAAGGACTCCACAACTGGTTGGTTGGAGACATTGAAGGATATGGCAGCGAACGGATAGCAGTGGCATTCTTGTTGTCGTTTCTTATCAGGTCAGAATGCTTGAAACGGTATGTATGCAGAGTTCTATTGCGTACTCTGTGTTGACCATAGTGGCTCATCTTCTTCTACCTTCCTCAGAATAGATCTAATAACTGTCCACCTTAGATTTTACCACTAACCTTGTATTCATTGCGAGTTTGCCAGCGATCAGCGAAGTTCGCCTCTCTGTATTTCGCTGTACGATGATGATGATGATGAGTAAGCTGAGGTAATTCTTCAAATTTACCTCAGTCAAATGTGAATTCATTCCATTTTCATAAAGATACATCTGGACAAACATGACGCTTGATCCGCTACATTCTCGTGCGATAAAATACCAACGACACTAAAAATAGATTTTTTTGGCATCAGGAACAATTCTCAAAAAGTAATTTATTATTAAAATATACGTCAAAATTATACAAATGTACCACAGAATACACTTACTATTCGACGGAAGTTATGAACTACAGACATAGAGACCACAAAAGTTAGGGACAAACAAGCAAAAGATAAAAGCCAATCAAATTATCAATTCCCGCCATANATGAGAACAAAATTCATGCAATCCAGAGTCCTACAGAGAGTAGTTTGATGAAATAAAGAACCAAAAGTAGTCACTAGATCAATAATAGCTGCTGTAGTTACGTGTGAATGGTAACTTACTGCTTAAAAACAAACGTAACTGATGGAGGCACTAGATTGTGTTGTCCGAGTGGTAGGAAAATATCCCTGGCGAAAACGTGTTTAGCTCTGAGGACAGAAGCCTCTTATACAACCCCATGATGCGCATGCAAAGGATCTGCTAGTTTTGATCATCTGGTTAAACAACAGCAAGTTTACAACGGACCAGCAACCCGTGTGAAGCACCACGCCCATCTGGCCTTAATTTATTGGTGCCTTCAATACGTTGATCTTTGTACATCTTTTGCAGTGGTTCCGGATCAAGTGTGATCACCAACTGCAGTCCATCTGTTTCTTGTATGCACGAAAGGATTTTGTTACTCGGAGTATTCGCTCCTAATCTCTTCGCCGCTTCTGGCGCAGATTCCATCAGTATTCAGATGTCGCTTCGTCAGATATTTTTCCCCTTTGTTTATGTTGAGACAACCTCCGGTGAAGTTTGGACACTGCAGAAAGTTCAGATGTTACAATGGGATTATTGTGGAATTGGACACTGCATAAAGTGCGTGAATTGACACTACACATTCCGTCACCAAACTTTGTGATTGCAGATACTCTTCAGCCTTGGTAAGTTAAACTAATGCTACGTTGACAGATCAATATACCTTTTCTTATCTACCTACCGGGTGAACATAGAACACTCTGTGCATGATCAGACAAACCCGGTCCCGAGACTACTACGGCGCCCCTGAAATAAAGAAACCGACCTCTGATTTAATTCAGCGCCGCCTTCATACCAACAATCTGATATCACTGGCGTAATTAGTGTCCAATTATTCTCTGAATAATTTCGAACGTTATTCCGTTATAGTTGAACATCCATAAATTTTCGGTACTCCACTCACAACTTACTGGTAAGTATTTCCCATTGCTACCTAACGGACCCTAAATGTTCTCGGTGAACGTCTTCCTGATTCTCATGCTTTGAACTGCACCAACAAGGCTTAACATCTACAACTGCATTGCACTTGTCTATAAAACATGGTTTCGCTTTTCCGAGCTTTCCCCGATCGTCAACCATCAACGTACCATAATTCACATGCACGAGCCCACAAGAAACACTCCCTAATGAGAGTTTCGGAGATTTGTTGCTCCTCATCAACCTTCTTACGGTGTATTATGGAATGGCACTGTTTCGCCCGTTGAGTACTATTTCCCTTCTTGATGTAACGAATATTTGGAGTTCACATAACACGTTCACCCCGGTAGGGATTCTACTGCACAGTTCCGATAGCGTAATATGACCTGCTCTTAATGCGAAGCACCGTAGGGCTACGAAATATAGCTGGTTACTAAATTCTGTAACAAATTAGGTTGACAGCTGTCGAATTCGCTTCTTTCTATTCTTGCTGAAGGACGAGCTCGACGACAGAAAACATGATAAGGGATGACTCAGATAATGTGATCTTAAAACCCGAGTGGCCACAGACTATGGACAACGAATTTACTAGAATGCAATGACAAATCATAGGGGTTTGTGCAGTGAATTTTTCCCGATGCACCTATTGTCAAGTGCCGAACCAAAGGTCATCACCTCAAACGTTATCAAACAGAAACTACAGATAGCAGGATGAATGCAGAAATAAATAGCGCTGCGTAGTTTTACCACTGGATACAATAGAAACGAGAAGGTAGCATAAGAGGAAAAGTAGTGCAACTAGAAACAGGAATGGCCAAAATATACAGCACAACACGAATGCTCAAAATGGGCGATGAAAAGGTACGGTACAAGGGGAATACTGACACAGCCACAGCACAGGTCGAACAGAAGTACCAAAACAGTAAACGATAATGTCAGCAGTGCGGTCAATTAGCATAAAATACAAAAATATATCACCACCATGGAGTGGTAGTGAATGGAAAGAATTGAAGACAGAAAAATCATAGTGCTATTGCATGTCAACATCTCGCGGTTACCGCTTCTTTTTCACCAATTTTTCCAACGGTTTTATTAAATTTCCTTGCGCTTGTGTTTCTGTTGAAGGTAGAGTTCGAGAACGTGGTGAATCATCACCAGTTACTAAATCAGATGGCCCGGTTTTACACTCAGCTTCATCCTTCTTGGAGCCTGACTGCTGGTCTAGTGCGCTTGCAGAATTGGTCGATTTGGCGTCACGTGATGCGTCCAGTTGACCCCTAAAGATGTCCACAATCATTTGAAGTTCACCGTATTTAACCCCCTGGTGAAGAAAAATTTTCGGAAAGGGATGAAATTATTGGTGTTTGAAAACGCACTTATTAATTATTATTATTTATTTATTTAAACGTATATATTTTTAAGTGAATAGCAAGAGAACAGACCTCGAATGTCAAAATCATAAAGCCGATGCAACTAGTGAAACTGCCTGTATGCAAAACTAAAGTTTCTCAACGACCATTGGTGTTCGTGAAACTGAATAAAGAAAACGAGTGGAAGATACCGACACGCAGCTAAACTAACTGACAAATATCTGAAATAAATAACTGATTTTAATACATTCAATCGCCTGCTATGTTACGCCCTTCGGGAAGCAGAGAGGGTAAATTAGGAAAACTGCGACGTAGCACGTCAATCAGTTGAATATAACTTCAAGTTGTATGAAAAACCAATTGGGATACTTGTGATCAAATGAATTGGACTGATGAAAACTATTCCATTTCACCCGAGCTACGAGAACCAATTTTCGATGAAAACTATGTTAATTCCATCACTTGTTCCCATCATTTATTATTATCTACTAATTATTTAACGTAGCCTTTATCTAGCGAAGAAATTCCCTCAGCCTAACATTGGGATAATGCATCTGATTTACAGCCAATGTGCAGTTTTAAGTAACTATTTATCCAGAACCTATTTACCTATTTGCCAAAATTTCGGCGCTCGAGGATGAAATAGCCGCTTTGAGTACCCCAGTCCCTCCGACCAGCCCGATTCAACGGCCACCTAAGCGTCCAAGGTGCTCCATAAACAACGTTCCCGTACAACGTACGCAGGAAATCGACACAAACAATGCACTGACCGTAACAAAAAGAAATAACCATTGACGCAGAGCCGAAGGATATCATTAGATCACTGAATCCTAGCAAACCATCAGAAAACCCGTCAGGAGGTTGCAAGAAAGGCGTTAAGAACACCATCTCAACAGTCATCTGCACGAATTTACCGGAGCCGACAACCTGAACACTGAGGGGAAGGCAAGAAGATCTTGGTCATTGGAAAGGTTTGTGCACTCTCATGGGAATTGATGTCCAACCTGTGAACCTAACACGGCTTGTGCGCCAGCCAAATTCGCCACACGCAGGAGAACCCAGGTTAGTACGAGTTACACTGAAGAGTGAAACGGACGTTGAGAACGTCCTTCTTTCGAGTTATCTCTTGAGAAATAGCTCCAGCACCACACGAATCTTCTCTCATGGACCATGGGCGGAGCGCGTGCAACACCGGAACAATCTAGAGGGTGCACGGGAGGAAGAGAACAAAAGGGTTGTTCTCATTCATGGGGTCCCAGAACTAGGTGATCCCGATGAGTGCAAATGCTTTTACAACGACAATAAGGAGTGGTATTTCATTAAGGACCCGATAAACTGCCAAAATGTTTTTGCCACATCAATCAGTCGTCTTACTTTTTCACCAAATTACTGCGGTAATGGCCCGAAGATAATGAAAGTCACCCTCAGCACACCAGAAATGGCGACCACAGTACTTCATTCTTGGAAACTAAACAAGAAAAAAGGACCACCAGAACTACACCTGAGACCCTTAATGAAGACTACAGTATTGGAATTTTCACTGTGGGATAACGGTGCTGATTCACAATCGATTCCGGTTTCAAGCTCCCCTCTACAATTGGGGGAATCAGAGTACCAGGGCTCTGGCTCCGTGACAGGGTCGGCAATGAATCTACTTCTCACCCAAAGGGACTTCTACACCAAACACATTTGACCTGTTGCTACACTAATGCCCAAGGTCTCCGCAGTAAGTTCTCCGAACTTGTGTTGCGTTTCCAATCCAGTCAGTGGGATATCATTGCTGTCACAGAAACTTGGTTGACGGATGACATTCTCGACTCTGAGTTGGGCCTACCCAGCATGTCTCTTCTCAGACGCGATCGTTCAACACGCGGGGNGGTGGTGTTCTACTTTACCATCGAAGCGATCCCCAGTGCGATGCAGTTGATCCTCCTGTTTCAGCCCCCGACACAATTTGGTGTAAACTGAAACTGTCGAAGCACGACGATTGTCTTATTGGAGTGGTCTATCGTTCTCCCTCATCCACGGAGTCAGTAAACGATACACTTTTGCGAGCTATGTCACAAGTCCTATCTGCAAAATTTAGTCAAACTTTGATCTCCCATCTATCGTTCCAAAGTCAGTTTAAACAGTTAATCGAATCGCATCCGTTGTACAACCACGCGAAGGAACCCACAAGGTTTAGCAACCTGGAGACATCGTCGTTGCTGGATCTGGTGCTAACCAACGAAGAGCTTATGGTCGAATCCATCGATGTCTCGCCCCCCTTAGGACGCAGTGACCATGTAGTATGGTTGTTCAAATTTGTCTGCTACGCTTCGATAGAACACGTCTCGCCACGGCCTACACTAGATTGCAGAATTTGTCTTACTGCACTCAGTAGATCCTACCTGGGGACGTAGGTGACCCAGTGGTCACCTGGCATGCATTTGCACACAGACTTACAAACCTGATCGCCTCAGTTACTAAGGTTGTCAGAAAGTCAGGGGTCCAAGATTCGCCGATTTGCAGCCGTACTAAGAAATGGATGTCTTTGCGCAATCGACCTTGGCGAGGATACAATCGATTTCCAACTGACAGCACCTGGAATAAATATCGACAACTGCGAAACCAGTGTACCCAGTTGGTGCGCGAGGATAAGCTGGGGTACCAAAAAGTGGTCTCACGGAAGTTCATCTCCAACCCATTACTACTATACAAACATGTTAATATGTCGAGGAAAGTAAAGTACTGGATACCCGCACTCAGCTGTCTTGGAAAGGTCGCCAGCAACACTCAAGAAGCAGCTGAGATGCTGAAAGACCAATACGCCCAAGTCTTTGACACACCTAACAACGCGACACTGCGGTTGCCTCGTCGAATACTCTTTCTTCCAAATCCACCACTGACTACCCTCACGTTTGATGCCGACAGAGTGAAATCAAAGCTTCGGAGTCTACATAAGTATTCGTCTCCAGGTGCAGATAACCTACATCCCCACCTGCTTATTGCATTAGCGGATTACATATCTGAGCCGCTAGCTTTTCTGGTCCAAAGGATGTTTGCCGCAACCGTGCTGCCTCAGTCGTGGAAACAAGGCATAATTTCTCCAATTAAAAAAGGTGGCCATCACAGTGATCCCGCCAACTACCGCCCAGGGACACTCCTTCCCGTTCTATCCAAAGTCATGGAATCCATCGTGGCGGATTTCTTGATGGAACACTACTGCCTCATGCATCAACAGAGAAGGACTTGGGTGTTATAGTCCACGAAGACCTGAGCTGTTCTGGTAACTGCGCCAGGGCGTCATCAACCGCACTCAAACATGTCGGTCTACGTAAACGGGTTTTCGGTCGTTTTGAACCATCGTTATTCTCATGTCTGTTGTCAGCATACATCCAGCCGCATATTGAGTATGCCATCCAAACTTGGAACCCATGGTTACGACGTGATCATAAGATTTTGGAACGTCTACAAAGGCTTGCCACGAAGATGGTCAAAGGACTCTATCATGATTTATACATGGGGAGAACGCAGCCGTTGGGTCTATACTCCGATCAGTATCGTCGGATTCAAGGAGACTTGATTTTGGTGTACCAAATATTACACAGCCCAAACCACCCTTATCGCCGACTTCTGAAGTTGTCGCCAAACGTTCATCTACGGGGACATCCATTCAAGTTGGCAATCCAAAAATTTCGACTGGACTGCCGACGTCATTCCTTTGCCGTCAGAGTGTGCACTGCCTGGAATTCCCTACCATCTCATGTTGTATGTGCCGAGATGACTGATTCTTTCAAGGTAAAACTTGACGAATCATTAACAAACATTGCATTCCAACATCCATGAAAACACAAAACACAACCAAATGCGGCATATGGAATTTTGTTCATCACTATTACAACTCAGTTCGTGTTAACACCCTATGGGACAAGAAAAGCATCTGCTTGTAAGTAATACCCATAATAAAACCTTGACCTTTTTCCTGGGAAAGTTTGTCAAATCAATTTAAATTCCAAATATGGTCTCATTCAGTTGCAATACATGGGTGGCCACCGAATTAAGTACATAGCATCCACCACAACAGTTTCAGATACAATGACGTCACAAAGTTGGAGCACATTTGACGATTCAGCCTAGATCGCATACACATGAATTATTGCTTAATTCTATGGCCAGATTGCACCCACGTATTCGAAAATAAGTGAATTGGCTGTTACCAGGTACGATGTGAAACGATGGAGCAATCGCACTTTATACGCGGTACATTGGCTTTTATCCCATATCCCAGCTCCCATTGTTCGCTGCACAATCTGTTCATGCTTTTTTGGTGAAAAATGTGCTCCAGTATTAGTAGACATCCACTCGTCTGGTCACTTTTGTTGTTGCCAATGCGTCCTGAAACCGATCGATACATTCGTTATGGCCAGCATCGGTCGACACCAATGGCGCTTTTATTAGTCATGACCCTAGTGATTGACTAAACTGTAACGTGCATCGCTCATATACAATAAGGGCCCACTAGATCCAGGTCGTAACTGCTACAATGACATCTGATCAGTGCCCTGTCCGATTTCGTCAGCGTTGTACCAAGAAGAAATGCGATTATCGTTCACCCATTCGCACATACACGTCAGTGCGACGGCGGTAATCGATCACCAAATATCAGTAGGCCGGAAAAACTACTGAGCAGAAACTTCGGCTGCGATTCATTTGTACTGTAACCGAGGAAACTCTCAAATGGATAGGGGTGATCACAACTCGGATCCATCCACACATCCTTTCTCTGTTTTACATCTGCTCTTAGCTCAGCCGCTGGTCCCTAACTAAACAGTGACTATTCTACCGTTTATTGTACCGAGGCAGGTTAGAATTCAAAGCAATTCATCGACAGCGACAAACATAAGCAAATCGACTCAGATCAGATCTATCATTGGACCGGAAGCTTACCTTCATTTCAAGAACTTTTTGCAGGTCACTCGGGGAGGCATCTGGCAGCAACTGCTTGTAGCTAGTAAGAAAGACCTCAGCTGATTGCGGATCAACTGGGCCCATCACAAAACTGGTGGACGAGGCAAAGGCCGGTTCGGCAGGATTTGGTTGTCCGGCGGCCGGAGGCGAGCCAACTGGGAGCATGACCGCTTTGATTATCCGCTCCGCTCGGCCCATGCCTTCATGAACCAGATTAGTGAAACTGCGAGGTGGGGCTTGAGAGAACTGGCATGTGATGAAAGGCAAGCGAGAAACAAGGTTAAGATCGAATGCGCAAACAATTAAATAAAACCGATGTTTCGATCCAACTGAATAAAAAGCAACAACGTCGCTTTCTAATAATAACTGATGATAGATCCTCATGCCAGATCAACCTTGGCAACTAATGCCACACACATCGCATGCCGAGGAAGAATATCTGGTGGAGGTCCAGAATTTGTGTTTCTAGGTCACTGCAATAACACTTCACCAGATGGCCATGTTCCTTGTTCAGACTCGCGTAATGAGGCATCGCCAGCGGTGTTTGAACATTAGTAGGTTCTGATTATATATTCATAACGGCCGTGCATCCGTAACGTACAGAACAGCCAACTGAACAGCTACAGCCTACACTAGACCCTAAACGAAGATCCAGCTGCACCAAAGGTGTCGTATGTCAGAAAATGCCAACCTAACCCTCTCTATCTGTAGCGAGAAACTCGGATGAATTCATCCGAGCTTTACCAACTAAGAAAGATACAAACTGCGTAGGGTGGATACACTGATTCGGACAGATCACCAAAGTGAGAATATTATAGAAAAACAAGTAGTTGATATATGGCGACCGGATTTAGTGCATTCCAAAACAATTAAGTACAAAACAATACTTTTTTGGAATTTGTCCATCCTTCCATTGAGTTTCAGGTTTCACAGCTTGCGCTGTCATGTTTAAAAGATCGTAATAACTGTTGGTTCGATCTTCTAGGCCTCACGAAGCAACTTGCACAGTATTTGATTATCTCTAAAGACATTAGCATAGAGTGATCAAAGTCCTTACCTAAATGATTTCAAACTGACAATATTCATGCTCAGTGGATGAGTGTTTGGAATTAAAATTTAAAGTTATCAGTCTTTGAATGGTTCTGAAAAACATCAAACACCACTACACGACGAGAATGCACCTTGACGCGGTGGGACGGCTTGTACACTTCTATGACCCAACGAGCTATACGGGATGGCTTTTATCAAGCCGCAGATCTAACCATGCCTGGAAGGTCAGTCTCCCGGTCCTCCAGGTTGTAGGTTTGACTAGAGTTAGCGTATCAATCGGTAAAAGTGTAGGGAGTAATTGATCCAAGTAGATGGGCCTCTACTTCACCTCACCTGCTGCCTTGCAGTTAGGTTATTGTCAGAACTATAAAGGTTTTGGACGAGAACCCTAATCGTTTTCCTGCTTAGTGCCTGCACACCCTGGCAGTACCCGTCCATCAAACGCAAATGCATACACAATAAAAATAATTCCATATTACATCGGTCGTCGCGCAGCATAATCAGCACTGCGCTACCCATTGCATCGAGCGGGGTGGGTAGTGATAAGTGGGCTACTGCTCACATATCCCAACCTTTGTTTAATTCCTTGTCTTCCATACCCAACCCTCTCTATTTACCCCGTCTTCCAACCAGAAACATTCCCTCAGACAACCTGTTCGTCACTTGCCAAAGTTCGTTGCCAAGTAGTTTACCAAAAAATAGATTGCAGGTTCTGAAGCCTCGTCAGCCATTTAATCTGGGGGCCTTCAACGTGAGGACTCTGATACAATTGGGTCAACAAGTGTTTATGCCGCGAACAATGGAGTCTTGGGGATTGATGTCTGCTACGAGTGGGAGACCCGAATCCAGGATCCTACTACTCTAAGCCACTGAAGTGCACCAGGGTTGTCTTTGAGGTTCTTCCTCCGCAGGTCAGGTGATGACGAAGCCCGTTCAGTAGACCAGCGTGGCGGGAGCATTGTACTGAATAACAAAGCCGAAGCCGCACTACTCGATTGGATCCCCATCAACAGCCATTTACGTGCGATGCGGCTCCAAGGGTCTATCAGCGTTCGGAAGAGAAGCAACACCAAAATGTGTTTATTCGTCGTTTCAGCGTATGCACAGACCGACTCCAATTCTGACGCACAAAAGGACGAGTTTTAAGATAAACTCACCGAACTCATTCGGTTGAGCCGGAGCTCCGATTTAGTTGTTCTCTCAAGTGATTTTACCATCACGACGAGACTGCGCCTTGACGCGGTGTGAAGGCTTGCGTGCCTCCATGACCCTGCGAGCTATACAGGATGGCTTTTCACAACCGGAGATCCAATCATGCCTGAAAGGTCAACGG